AGGCTCCAGGACAGTGTGGGGACTCCAAGGCAGGCCTCATCCCCCTCCACGGGTCAGCAGCCCTGGCCTCTGCCCCTTCACTTACATCCCACGGTGGGCAGGACGCTCTTGAAGTCGTTCTTCACGTACCGGAGGGCCAGGCTGGACTTGCCCACGGAGCCGCTGCCCAGGAGCACCAGCTTGAACACGCAGGGCTGGCCAGGGGCGGCGCTGGGCGGGGTGGTCCCGTGCGCCATGCCCTGCAAAGAACCGCACGGTCCGAGGCAGGTTGACTGTCTGAGGCCAACCGTCTCCGGGAGCTCCCTCCCCGGGGCTGCTTCCCTGGTCGAAGCAGACGGCCTGGAACAGGGCTCCCAAGTCACAGGCCACCTGGGTTGGCAGCCCTGCTCCACTCTGCACGCCGTGCCCCAGCTCCCCGTCTGCAAAGTGGGGCGCACGTGGTCCCTCGTATAGGTCTGTTGTGAGGAACAAAAGAAGCTACGCTTGGAAAGTGCCGGCACAGGCCACCACAGACCCTGAAAAGCAATGATGGCGTGTGGGGGTCTCACGGCTCACTGTCCTCGTTCCGTCACTTCTTTTTACAAACCTGTTACTTATTCCAGAAAGTATCCGAAACACCCGAGAGGTGAAAAGTGAGCATCTCTTGGTTGTTCATTCATGGGTTAAAGTTGGTGTTTCAATGATGTCAAAACTTTCTAGTTGTTCCCATCGCGTCTAAAGCCTCCGAAGCCGCAGTGCTGTGCCCTGGAGAAGATCCAGCCCTGTCCTCAAAGTGCACACGCTGAACTCTGCGTGTCTGTTTATCACGAGAAGTTCCGTGCACACACCACCCCGGACAGAACGGTCTGCTGGGCCCGCGAACCCACCACCCACTTCCCCAGTAAGCAGCTGTGGCCACACTGTCACCCACGTCCCCCAACCTCACCCCGTCAGGTTGGTGCAAAGCAAAGCCCAGACATCCCATCATCTGCGCATCTCAGGATAGATACATATATTGTTTCTGCTGAAGAAATCGGGTTGTCTTGCAGCTTCCCGGTGTGGCTTTTGCTGATTGCAGCCCTGTGTTGTCACCGAATACAGTCCCGTGAACCCCGTATCTCCATAGCTTGGTGGCTCAGAACAGAAGCCCGATCAGATACGGCTTTTTTTGGCAAGGATGCTTCAAGAGCGTGGCGCACACCTCCCTCGGATGGAAGTCATGTCCGGCTGTCTTCTTGCAACATTAGCGGTCACTGAAGGCCATTGCCTGGGCCGGCTACGTCACTGGGAAGCTGCAAGTGGTGACGCTCTAATGTCATCCCTTTGTCTTTCTTTTTCACCTGGAAAACTTCTAGGAAGAGAAACTGCCCCTAATCAGTGTCCAAACCCATTGAGGGGCAGCTCGTCCTGTGAACAGGGTCTCCTCTCCCTCCCTCGCCACAGCGGGCTAGCGGGAGGCAAGGAGGACGGGGAGGAGTTTGGAAAGGAAGAAGAGAATCGGGAGCAGCCCACATTCCCTCCCTGCCCCAACAAGCAGCCACGGTCACGGCCTGTCTGGGTGCCCCGTGGGGACAAGAGGGGAAGAATCGAGTTTGGAATCAAAGTCTCAGAACAGACGGGACTGAGTCCTAAATGCCAGCCAGACTGTTCTAGACAGACAGCGACTGGAGAGGTGTGGAGTCTGGAAGAGAAGGGTCTAGGGTGCTTCTCCCCAGTGGGGAAAAGGGGTTCGCCGTGGTTGTTGAAGACATGCCTGGAACCCCATCTTAAACGGGAATACACTCAAGTTTCCCTATCAAGTGTGATGCCAGTTTCAGAGAAGGAGTAGAAAAACAAAATTGTTTTAACTTTTCCAACCATTATTTTTTAAGAAACAAAAAATCTCCCCAGTATGCAACCAAGACTGAGAACCACTGCCAGGACTTTGTCTAACTTCTTCAGGGCTGGGCACAGTGCCTGGCATGTAGTAGGCACTCAATAAATACCCGAGGAAGGGATGAACGTATGAGGTCAGCACAGAGGAAGAGCAGGTGACCCAGCACCTGTGTTTTAAAATTTCTGCCTGAACTGAGGACAATTCTCAGGGCCTGCTTCGGTTCGAATGTGTCCCCTACAAAGCAGGTGTTGGAAACTTAATCCCCAGTGCCGTGGGGTTGGGAGGCGCGGCCTAAGGGGGGTGTTAAGGTCATGAGGGCTCCACCCTCGTGCGCAGGTTAACACTGATTCCGAGTGGGCTGCAGGCTGCGGGTCCCATCTTTCTCTCCTGCCCTCCCCCTTCCACCATGGGAGACGCAGCGAGAAGGCCCTCGCAAGATGCGGGCCCCTGACCTTGAGCTTCCCAGCCCACAGAACGATAAGGAATAAGTCTGTGTTCTCTATAAATTACCCAGTCTCGGGTATCTGTTACAGCAGCACAAGATGGACAGGGCCTAAGTCACAATGAGAGTGGCTGGGGTGGGGACAGGCGCCAGCTGAGAATCTGGCTGCGTTAGCTGGGGACAGGTTCTCAGAGCCCAGCCCAGCTCAGCCCAGCCCGGCTGCCCTGAATGTCTGCAGCCCACAGGCCCACGCCTGCCCAGCCAGTGTCCTGGCAAGGCCCTTCTGCTGCCTAGCGCCCCACTCGCCAACACAAAGCCCAGAGCAATTCCTTCCCCAGAGTGCGACCCACTAGTAGAAAATTAAAGGTAAAAATGTTGATAAAATAAACAGCATGGACAGGTGGGAATGCGCCTCGAAAGGTCAGCCGGCCCTCCAGGAATGAACGTGCAGCCCCGTGACTCAGCCCTGCAGCCAAAGTGCACGCCAGAGTCCAGATTCCAAATGCAGCAGCAAGAAAGACAGCAGAGGGTGTTGTCCCCAAGTCCCGATACTGCCAGGGTTTGTCCATCCACTTCGCTGTCCAGTAAAGGGGGATTTAAAGCCCCTCTGGGTCTCCTCGCTTCTCTCCACTCGGGTTGGTGCAAATCTCTCTCCCGCAACAGCCTTCTAACCGGTCTCGCGGCTGCCAGCCTTGCCCCGACCCCACGTCGACGTCCACAGAGAGTAGTCAACGGAACAGGCGAAGGTCCCTGCCGTCGCGGAATCTGCACTTCCCTGTTCCTCTTCTGGGCTGAAATTATCTCAGTTTTTGACTCTACATTAATTGGAATAATTCTTGCATTAAGGACTTATCTCTCTCACTGGGCTGTAAACCTCTAACGAGATTTAATTTATGTAATTGTTGTCTTAATATCTTCTCTTTCTCCTGGGCTGTAACACTCACAAGAGCAGGGACCGCACCCTTCAGCATACAGCGGGGCTCAACAACCGTCGCATGAACGCAGGAGGGTGGCTCACCAAGAAGCCGTGATGGGACAGACGTGACGCTTCCACCTCGCAGCTTTACCGCCGGTCACCCCCCAGGCACTTGTCCGGCAGGGACTGGGCATCGGCAGAAAGGGGGAGAAGGACCCCAGCAGCCGCTGAGACAGGCGCAGCTCTGAGTGGCCAGGAAGAGAAGGTCACATGCGCTGAGGCCACCCCGCACACAGCACTCAGGCGACGCTGCGGGTGAGTGGCTGACCGACCAGAGCACAGGCCCCTCCACGGAGAGGGCAGGGTGGGGACACACACAGACGCCCGCCCAGGCCGGCCGCACGGCCTCCTACTGACACTGAGAGGGAGACCTCGGGGCTCCGCGTTACCCCAGCTTACCCGGAGGCCTGGCGGCTTTTCCTGGACAGAGATGCGGAATCGAAGCCCGAGCCGGCGGCCTCCACCTCTGCGCCGGACTCACTGGGCGCTGGCGTCACTCCGGCCCCTTGCGGAGAGCGGCAGGACGTGCTTTCTGCGTCACGATCACCTGCGCACACCCGAAACAGCTCAGTGGTCAGCTCAGTAGCGAGTCGTAGACCACTGTGAAGAATGGAGTTTCGGAACTTTCCAGGCCACCCGGGGCCAATGCCTTGTTTCTTGATGGAAGTACTTACAGCACCTGCTTAGGAGGAGACGTCCCATTGACCTGCACTGTGATTTTACAGACAGAGAAAGTCCCAACACACCTACAGCAACGCGTTCTCGAGTGCTTAAAGATGCCCCTCTGAGTTCTCTTTGCTATTTATTCACACGGATTAACAAAACCCACCTCACGTCACTAAAGCCGGCGCCCAAAACGTGTCAGAATCAGGTGAACTGAGAACGCCTGCACCGTTGCTATGAGACCAGACCGCAGCATCTCAGTCCTCTGACGATGACACATCTCTTTGTTTAAAAAAATACATTTTACTATGAATCTAAACATATAATTGTCAATATATTAAAAAACTATTTATAACCCCAAACCCTGACTACAATCACAAATGGGGTTTTACCTATTTTCTTCTAGTTATTTTCCTTCTATGATTCTTAGAAACAAACCAAGCCCATAGTTTTAACATAGAATTATATATCCAACCTTTAAAAAAAAATTTAAAAAACATAACACTCCTACAGGTATCCCATTTTGCTCAACCATTTCCCTATTACTAGATTTTTACTTGGTTTTGAATTTTTTCTCCATAATAAAATGACTGCAATGAACATTTTCGCGTGTAACTCTGTGCGAAACCGTGTGCCGTAAGCTCCCAGTAACGAGAGGCTGGCGCCCTCTGTCCAAAGAGAAAATTGAACGTGTGGAATCTAACCAAGGTGGGTTATTACAAGTCTCTGGAAGGCGAAGATGTTCTCAGAAAGGCCGAATGCATGGTGAGGGCCTCCCTGCTGATCTCGATTTGCGGCTTTTCATCTCTTATGCCTCGCCCCCACCAAAGCAAAAAAGGAAACGACAGCAAACCTCAAACTAGTCTTTTTTTGGAGGTGCGAGGTGGGGAGGCCATTCCAGGGAAGGGTCTGGTGTGACAAGTCTGCTGTCCCCGTGGGTGCCACTCTTGCCCAGCTCGGGGAAGACACCGAGACGATCCCCAACACTGTGTGGCTTCCGCAGCACTGTGGCCATTTGACACAGAGGAAAAACAAGATGTAGATTTCAAGAGGGAGAATTACAGGAAAACCTGACAACCTCTCTAGACATCATCAATCTGTAAAGACTGAACATTTTTTTGTGTCATTTGAGATGGATTCTTTGAAGGGCTTCTCTTCATTACCAGTAGTTTCCACTCGAGGCCTTTAACTGAAATTTTCCCAAAGGAAAACTTAAAATAGGAGTCTCCTTCCGAGAACTGACCTACTGAGCCGCCAGGGCTCCAAACAAGGACGTCTCTGGCCTTGAGTAAAGCAAATGCCCCGTCCCCGCTTTGCAGCTTTGACTGTGGGCACTCGGGCACACGCACAGACACACAGAGACACAGACACAAACACAGAGCCACACACTCGCACACGAACACACACCGAGCCACAAACACGTGTGCATACACACACAGACACGAACAGAGACCCAAACACACACAGACACTCTGCAAAGTGCACAGAGGTTTATACAGTGACTCACCCGTCCCCAGGCCTGGTCACTTCCAGGGAGCCTGACAGCCCGTCACCGCCGGGTCCTGCAGGGCCCCTACCGGTCTCCCTCTCGCCTCCCTTCTGGCCTGGGGAGAGGTTTGCTTTCCTCTGCAGGCGGGCGGGGCCGTGGCGGTGGAGGGACAGGAGCAGGCTCTGCTCCAGTGGCAACAGAGCCTCAGAGCGGAAGTCAGAAGCAGGAGCCTTGGGCCGGGTGGTGCCCGCCCTGCCCCCAGCCCGAGGTCAGGCCTCTTCCCTTCCCGAAAGGCTCCGGAGCAAAGTACACCACGGTCATGTGGTCACCTGGGGCTGGGCAGGGCAGGAGGCTGGACCACAGAGCAGGTGATCTGGGAGCACCTGGGCACCCAGCCGGAAGTCACATTCCTGTCCTGTGTTTGTTGGCATCCGACTCCTGCCCAGTTTTTCGGCTTTGTTGCAAAGTCTTTCTTTGATATGGAATATTTTTCTTGGCTCCTTCCCCAGAGCTGTATTGAATCTTTGTTGCGATTGAAAACTAACTAGAAGAGAAGAAATATTTCGGTCAAATGAATTAATTCCTTCTGCAAACAGCAGAACTCACCAGGCCCTGCATCCCGACCCAGAGGCAGCCCGGGGTGGGCCAGGTGGAGAAGTCACATCCTAGGCCCGATTCCACCTGGGGTGGGGTGGGGGCTTCTGGGCGCAGGAGAGAGGAAAGGGGACCTTCTCCTGGTCCTCCCAAATTCTTCCCGAGACTCTAGTCCTGGAATGTCCTGGCTTGGTGGTAATGGAATAGTCGCTTCCAGATAAGATTTTCAGGGTATCTGAGAATGGCTGGGGGTGGGGTCTGGCCAGAGGCTGAGGAAGATGGCAGTTTGTCAGCTATGACTGCCAGTTCACGAAATCAGCGTGCAGGAAGCTAGCACGTTCGTGTTCTCACAGCTCACCTTAATTTCTTGTTTGGGTCCCATCCCACTTCCCTGCTGGAAACGAGTTCAGTCATTGCCTCAGTTTCCCCAGCCCTGTAGTGGGAGTTGTGGCTCTTATGTTGCAGGGGGGACACCTGCCCTGGGCTCCTGCTCTTCCGTCATCCCTGCAGGACAAGCGTTTCTCGGCTGCGTCCGCACCGCCCGGGGGCGGAGGATTCTTGCTTCGTGCAACTGCCTTCCTCGATTTTGCCAGCACGCCTGGCTGGGCCCCACCACTTTAGAGGCTCAAGAACCTCCTCCCTATTTGAACGACTTTCCTGTTGCCTGCCCTAGCCTGAAACTGAGGGTCCGGGAAGGATGAGGCGAGCTCCACCCGTAGCTCACATGATGGAGGGTGGAATGTGCTTTTCTCCTCTAACACAGAGGGTCTTCTCCATAGTGGTC